GCTCCAACCAGTCTATATCCTTCTATGTCTAGTTCCTATATAATATGAACTAGACTAGTTCCTATATAAGAGGAACTAGAGACAGCTTTTCATGCCTGTGTCTTTCGGAGTCTGCATTGCTCCGTGAAAAATTCAGGGAGTTGTGGGTCACAAAGATTGAAAAGCACTAAGGGTGTTTGTTGGCTAAGAATTACCAAAGAGCAAGTCCGCTTAAAAGGCCATTAATATATAGCATCAGTACCTTTCTCCTGCCGGCTCTTTCAACTTCACTGATACTCAGGATTGAATTCCTTAATGATACTAATCACACTGTGGGGCCAAATACAGAATTCTCACACAGTGAGAATTCTCTGTGGTGTTTCTTAAGCATTGCACAGCCACTGGCTCTGTCAGCCAGTGTAAGTTACTTGTTCTGAGGCAGTATTTTCCCAGCTTGGGAAGTCCAAAGGGTACATGGGGAGCCCATATTGGAGAGAGTGCCCCAATCTTCCAGACTCAGGAATTCTTAATTTCTTTTATTATAAAAGCTCAGTAACGCAATTTTTCTGCATTTTGTGTGTATGTTTGATTTACTGCTATTAGTGCAAAAGCATTTTTAACCTTATCTATCTGCACTGTACAGAAAGAACGCAGATCTGAATTGCGCTCCTCATTTTTATAAATGTTGAAAAAAGCTGCATTGTGTGAGACAAATTAGTCTATTAATTACACATGTGGAGTTGGTATTTTTCTAGCAGGAATTAAACCACGACATCATCCATCAGGAGAGGCATTTTTGTGACATAAATGTGACATAAATGCCGAAGTAGTGTCTCGTGTAATTCTTTTGGCAGTTGGCTGTTTCTGTATTGATAAAATAAGTTCTCTTTCTACTTGACTACTAAATACAGTGTCCAAGTAATTTTAGGAAATGCGACTTTTAAAGACATCCCCTGTCACCAAATGGGGGAGAAACCGCAAATTTGCTTGTACCTTTTCCCAAAGATGTTTTGAGGTCTGATGCAATAACCGATAAAGGAGTGCTCAAGTTAACTGTAAAGGGAGACCAAGCAGGGAGGTCAGTAGGAATATATCTGAAGCGAAAACGCTTTTAACCAGGACACAGTTATTTAAAGCACTGACAGAGATAGAGCTAAGATTTAGAAACAATATGCACGTGGCCGTTCAGGAACTGAAAAACACTGCACTCACTTCAAACACTGTTAAGAGTCTCAGTTATGGTCCATGTTTAATCTTAAATTTAAATTCCCGGCACTCTTCGCTGCTCGAGCTCCACTCAGCCCACCTGTTTGTTCCTTTTTTTCCTCTAGATTTATGGCCTACACCATGGTGGATCTGTGCTGGAAGCTGTCCGTCTGCTTGCTTTGCTACCAGGTTGTCTCGGGCAGAGTTAGGAGGGAGGGCCGTTATGTTGCTGCCGTCTACGAACACGAGTCCATCTTGAGTCCTAACCCGGCAGCCCTGGTTGATCGACAGTCTGCGCTGGAACTCATGGGCAGGAACCTGGACATCTACGAGCAGCAAGTAGCGGCCGCTGCCAGACAGGTATGCCGCAGCGTCGCAGCCGTTGCACGCGTCCCAGGTATCTAGCGAGTAAGTGCTATTTGAGGGTAATCTTTCACGTTTGTGTTCCCAGGCAACACAAGCCATACATGGTCCGGTTTTTCAGACATTCTGACCTGCCAGCAGCTCTGAAAAAAATCAGGACAATTAGCAGCTCTCCTGACTTCAGTTATTCCAGGCTTGGAAAAAGACGCCTATAGTTATTTAGTAGAGGGAAATTTTCTATTTCGGTTTGAATACCGAGCTCCTTTCTGCTTTCTTAAATGGAATGTTTTTATTGAAAGATTGTCTTACAGGCAGCTGTCTTTGGCTTTGATTTTATTCCAGTGCTCTCAATGGAAATTCCTGAATGTTTTTAACAACTGAGGAAGTTAAATACTTTGGAAATGAATGTTCCACCATTAAGAACGTTGTGGAAGTAAAGTTTTCCATTCCTTTCTCCTACTCTCTATGGAATGGTTCTCAGTCTAAATATATTTAGAGGAGAGAGACTAGTATTTCTGGCTGTTCTTATGCACAGCCTGCTTCCCTCCCTCCCCAGGAAGACCCAAAGCTGGCTCTAGTCAGAGGAAACAGGCATTATTGGCCCTACAGGGTGAAGAAATGACTTGCAAGTTTCACAAATCTTTTGGAACAGAATTAAAATTTTTACCTTATTTTAAAAAGTGGTGGTTTGGTGTTTCTATGGGTTTGTTTGGTTTCGTTTGAGTTTGTTTTTTGAGAATGGTGACTGGGCATCACAGTCCAGAGGCACAATAGCTATTTTCTTACAGTAGTGCATCCAAGACACATATATTATCCCAAAGCCGTAGCACAGATAACACATTTGAACTGACTTTTGAGCAGTCACAAGAATCTGAGTGACTGAGGCTGCATCTGATTTAAGAGGAATCCACAACATTTTTAGGATCAACTCTCCCTGAACTTCAGGTAGAGCTCACCTAGCTCTGGCATGGCTACATTTCTAGCAGAATCTGCACTGCTTTCACAGTCAAGCTGTTCCTGAGAACAGTACTCCCAGTACCCTACCCAACCCAATACACCTAATTAACCTTTATAGCCTGGACTGAGTGATGCTGCATCTTTGACACAGAGTTGTACCTTTGTCAGAGCCCATCTGCAAATGGCATAATTCTGAAAAAAGAATTAAGACAGGTTTCAACACCATCAGACTTTAACCTGACTGATTTCATTCTCATGACATAAGTGTATGGAAAATACTTCTGGTAAGTATTAAAATAATGTCAAATAAATAGATTATTTTTCCAGCTAAAGGTATGAGTCAGGTTAAATAAGCTTTTTTATACACAGTTACACCTTTGAAGTCAGATTTTCAAAAATGTCAAATAAATAGATTATTTTTCCAGCTAAAGGTATGAGTCAGGTTAAATAAGCTTTTTTAATATTAGCTTTTTTTTTTTACAGTTACACCTTTGAAGTCAAAAGATATTTTCAAACTACATTCACATCAAGACATACTTGGGTTATCCTTAACTTTCTGATTCCCCTTTTTCTTTTCGTATTTAGGTTGGTTTTGCTTTGCCTACAAAAGATGTCTTTGTTTTACACACCAGGGAGCACAGATCATTGTTTTTCCTGAAGATGGAATCCATGGCTTCAACTTCACCAGAAGCTCCATTTATCCTTACTTAGATTTTGTTCCGCATTCACACTCCATGAAGTGGAATCCATGCAGAGAGCCCTATTTGTTCAACGACACAGAGGTAATTGTACAAGTGATTCCTCCAGAGAAGTGGAGTAACTAAATGCTAGATTTGTGCTCCAGGTGGGAAGCTAGCACTAGTAGTTTTGCGTAGGGAAGTAAGCAAGAAGTTTGACAACTCGGAGTACTGGAGTTTATGGTGCTTTAATTTTTAGCAGAGGAGGATTTTAGATACATGCAAGAAGATTGGCCATCTGGATTTGTCATCTCCCCCTCCCCAACCTATGAAATGGTAATCACTGTCTAGTAAGATACCTTGTTACTAGTGTTATTTTGAACAACGTTGTTTTATATAGAACAATGTAGCAGTATCTTCACTTTTGATGCATTCTTGTTACCCAGTTTTAATGTCTGCATGCTGTGAGAACATTCCGACTCTGTGTGTAAAATGATTAGCACAACCGGACTTGATTTCCTGTAATGTAATAGAAGTTATAACTTAGCACAGAGTGTGATGATAGAAGATGTGACCTGCAAGTTTCAAAAATAGTATTTTCATCGACTGTTCTGAAGCCAAAGTGAAAATAACCATTCGTAGTAACAACAGACTGTTCCTATTACAGATTCACAGAATGGTAGAGGTTAGAAGGGACCTCTAGAGATCACCTAGTCCAACCCCCCTGCCAGAGCAGGATCACCTAGAGTAGGTCACACAGGAACAAGTCCAGGCGGCTTTTGAAAGTCTCCAGAGTAGGAGACACCACCACCTCTCTGGGCAGCCTGTTCAGTGCTCTGTCACCCTCACAGTGAAGAAGTGTTTCCTCATGTTCAGGTTGATCCTTCTGTTTTCCAGTTTATGGCCATTGCCCCGAGTCCTGTCACGGGACACCACTGAGAAGAGCCTGGCCCCATCCTCCTGACACCCACCCTTTAGATATTGATAAGCATTGATAAGATCCCCCCGCAGCCTCCTCTTCTCCAAGCTAAACAGACCCAGCTCTCTCAGCCTCTCCTCATACAGAAGGTGCTCCAGGCCCTTCATCATCTCAGAGGCCCTCGGCTGGGCCCTCTCCAGCAGTTCCTTGTCCTTTCTGAACTGAGGAGCCCAGAACTGGACACAGCACTCCAGGTGAGGCCTCAGCAGCGCAGAGTAGAGGGGGAGGATAACTTCCCTTGACCTGCTGGCCACGCTCCTCTTAATGCATCCCAGGATGCTATTAGGTTACAGTAGTCGGTATGATGAGGTTACTAATGACGCAGGTGTCTAGTCAGCAGACTGTGTGCAGCCCTTCATTGCAGTGGTACGTGGCCTGTGAAGCTTTACTGCCAGCGATCATGCACCAGTCAGCAAGAACTCTGTCTGTCATTCAGCCCCTCTCTGGAGCTGCAGTACCGGCAGTCTTTGGGACAGCTCTCGATGGCGTGGGAGAAACAGCCCAGTAATATCATAATCTGTAACCTTTTGTATTTCTTTTCTATAACTAAGCAAAATCTCTCCATTTACATCTCTGCCGCTCTTAGGCTGTAGCTAGTAATCTGGTATTTTTTTTTTAAACGTAAAAACATGCAGTTGCAGAACAAGCCACTGCAGGTGCAGATGATCATTCTTAGAAGTTGGTTGTTCGAAAGGCGCACGCAGACCAGTTACGCTGCCATGTCGAAGCTTTCAGTTGACCCATGGTGTTCTAAAGCCATTGGTGCTGCTGCAACAGTCAGAAACTACTGAAAATTAACACCCCTGAAATAGAGAGATTTATTTATTTACTTACTCCTCAGGAAATAAAACCCAAGTAACTTTTTTAAAAGTTTGAAATTATTACCTGAAATTCAGTCTGGAAAGGTACTGGTTCCAATAGCTTTCATCACAAAATTGTAAGTACTTTTAAATTTTCCAGATAAGGTAAAATATGCTCAATTTCCAGTTGAAAATAATGCTTTGAAAAGCAGTAAATGTCAGTAGCTGCTTAAGTGAAATGTATTCCTCTGTATTCTGAAGTACTCACCTTTCCCTGCAGGTTCTCCAGCGTCTGAGCTGCATGGCACTGAAGAACAAACTGTTCCTTGTGGCAAACCTCGGGACGAAGCAACCCTGTGCACACACCGATCCTCGCTGTCCCCCGGACGGAAGATACCAGTTCAACACCGACGTGGCGTTCAGCGAGGACGGTGTGCTGGTAGCCACCTACCGCAAACACAATCTCTATTTCGAATACGCCTTTGACACCCCTCCAGAACCTGACTATGCGCTCTTTGAGACCCCTTTTGCCGGCCAGTTTGGCATGTTCACGTGCTTCGATATACTCTTTTTTGAGCCTGCAGTGCGCCTCATCACACAGTACAGTTTGAAACACGTTGTGTATCCGACTGCCTGGATGAACCAGCTCCCACTCCTGTCGGCTGTAGAATTTCAACGAGCTTTTGCAACAGCTTTTAACATCAATCTTTTGGCAGCTAATATCCACCACCCTGCCCTGGGCATGACGGGGAGCGGCATATACACTCCAGTCAAGTCCTTCATCTACCACGACATGGAAAGCTACGGTGGCAGGCTCATAGTGGCAGAAATTCCGGTGACTGGCACAGATTACAAAACCAATTTGGAGAGTGGTGAAAGGTTCAGAGAGAACTTGCATCGCTCCTGCAACACTTTTACAAGCGCCCCGATGGCTGATCAAGTTTGCTTTGAGGAGGGACAAGAGACCCCCGGCAGGGTATCGGAACGAGGAAATGAACAGTTATCTCCCCTGTTTTATTCCGAAATGATGTACGACAACTTTACTTTCGTTCCTGTCTGGGGGGAAAAAGGAGAGCTCCAGGTTTGTGCCAACAGCCTCTGTTGTTACTTAGATTACCGGAGAGCTGTGGTAACGGACGAACTGTACGCCTTGGGAGTTTTCGATGGGCTGCATACAGTGCATGGCACGTACTACGTCCAGGCCTGTGCGTTGGTGAAGTGTGGGGGTCTCAGCTTCAGCACTTGCGGACAGGAGGTCACAGATGCCACTGCTCTGATGGATTTCCAGCTGTGGGGCAACATGAGTACCCCATACATCTTTCCTTTACTGCTGACATCTGGTGTGACCTTGGACTTTGCCGATCACACGGGCTGGAAAAACCACCACTATTTCATAAGCAAAAATAGAACATCTTCTGGCCTGCTGACAGCTGCTCTGTATGGACGATGGTACGAAAGGGACTAGCGTGGAGATCTGACTGAATCCACAAACAACTGCCCCTATGTTCAGAGTGTGTACCTTAACAGAAGTTGTTGAACACCTGTACTGCCTGAGGTTCGGGTATGTTTGTTATGTGACGGACTCAATTCCACATCTGACATTACAAGCGGAGCACCTGATACAAGAGAGGCTGTAAGTACAGTCAGGACCTTGGTAGCTTCTGTGAAAGAAGTGCTTGTAAAGATAAAGGCTTGTTGAAATGTGTTGACATGGTCAATATTGGGAAAATATACTTGCAATTTCAACTGAATGTGTTTCTTCTGGTGTAATCCTTTGGTTTTCTGGGGTCCTGGCTGGGAGTATGGAAAGGAAGGCAGTGGAAAATCATTCCTTCTTCCTTCTCCAACTGTCCCATCAGTTTCTGTAGCATATGAAAGGATTATTCGGAAGCCATCACAAGCCATCGAGAGGTCACAGCAAGAGGTGATAATGACCAGCCAAGCTTGGATTTAAAGATTTGTAAGAATTTGTTGGACCAACTTAAAGTGTTCAAATGCTTACTTTTTCCTGATATTAAAGCAGATTTTCCAGAGTTTAAATACAGACCTATGGAAGTGATGTTCAAACTTTAAACTGCTTCAGAGATTATAAAGGCCCTTCTCTCCAAGCTTCCTAGTCTGATTCCAACCATGACTGAATTATGAGGAATTACTGTTATCAGGAATGAATGCTTCTTAACCAAAAGTTTGGCAGCACTTCTTTTGGGAAGTAGGTATGTACCATCAGCAAAGCCACCATGCAAAGTGGTGGAGAGGAGGGTACTCAGTCCTGCCAGCTCTTCCTGCTGCTACTACGGCCGCAGCTGGGGAAGCCCACGGAGCTCCCTCACCCACCCTATGCTACACTGAGCCAAAGAGCACATCCTCCAGTTCTCTGGAACTGCTGTTTCCATAAACACTCATCATTTGTATTTAGCTTTCCGTTTTTAAGATGTGAACCTCACTCATCCAAACGCGGAATCAGCATGGGCTCCCTGGGCACACACAGCACTGCCAGCAACGTTCCACAATGATGCACAGGAAAAAGCGGCTCACAAGTATGGAGTTTTTTTTGTAAACTACAATATAAACAGAATATGTTATTCAGGATTACTACAGGAGTTGTTGCCTTTACATGGACATAATCTCTGGGCAAGATGGGAAGGCTAGTTCTGCTCAAACCCAGGATTATTGGGTCAAAGAATCCGTAAACGTTATCTCATGCTTCTTTTTAGTCGTCTTCCACACAGCTTAGGTAACAGCTTTGGGATTTTTAGTGTCCTTTGTGTAGATGTTAAATGGAGCAGAACGCTGAGGTAATTAATTTTTACATATTACGTTATTTAACCAAACAATTGTTAAGTCTTTAGTCTGGTAAACAAGTCAATTTCAAACAAGCAAATACACGACCGGGGAAAAAAAACAAACAACAAACCACCCCACAACCAAGATCCAAGTTTAAATAGTGCGTATTTCTAGCTTTGATTGTTCCAAACATATTGACATTTTTTTAGGTATCTAAGCATGTGGAAACAATAGAGTCATAGGAAGAAATACAAAGCAGGAGACAGCGAGATCCAGGTTTTGTAAGAAATGACAAGAAAAACCTTTCTCATTACAGTAGGGTCACTGCTGGGGACATGGGACAGCACCCAGCATTTACGCTACACCACACTAACAGCTCGGCCTCGGAGGTTCCTACCGACTAACTGGCGTTCTCTCCTGCAGAACATTTATCCTGAGAACTGAAAGACCCCCAGCACAGCCCCAGAAGTCAGAGTACACAGAAAGCTGAGCAGAGCTCATTGTCCTCATTCCTGAAGTCCAAGTGATTTTTTTTTCCCCTCCCCCTTCAGGATAAAAAGGGTTTCTTCTCTTCTCATATGCTGCTTCGGTGGCCCAGCCAAGGCTCACTGCTCTCCATGACAATCCAAGAGACTGTTTGGATGAAGGCCGTAACAGTAACCGTGCCCTGTTCATCTGTACAAAAAGAGGAAGATGTCTTTTAGAATGATGGAGGTTCCAGTATAATTTCCTGGAAATGAACAGGCTACTGGAGGTATGAACACTCTTTTAAACAACCCCCCCCAGCCACAGACAGCATTACTTGTTTCACAGAAACAAGGACCCTTCTGTTCCCGGACTTCTCATGACGAGTGGTCTCTGACCACTGCAGCATATTCTTTAACCAAATCACGTTCCGTTCTTGGAGTAAGACCACATCCTAGTAATAGTCCCAATTATCACTTACGGGGCACAGTTCCTGCCCTGCCCGTACTGCCAGGTCGTGACAGAGGGTTTTAAATGGGAACAGCCCAGTACACGTGAACTGCAACCCACAGGCTCACGGAATAAATTCTGATGATAGGGTAGAGGAGGGGCACCAATCATCTAACTCTGAATTCTGAGACGGAATTAACAATTCCTAATAAAAATAAGACAGATCTTGAGCTCTAAAAAGTTCACAAAACTTAAAAAAATGCAATTTAATGCAGCAAAAAAGTTTTCTTCCTCAGAAGATGAGGAGAGACACCCAATTTCTGACTGACATAAAAAGCACTGTTCTCTGCGTCAGCCTGTATTCCATATCCAAACCTTTAGAATCATAGAATCACAGAATGGTTTGGGTTGGAAGGGACCTTAAAGATCATCTAGTTCCAACCCCCCTGCCATGGGCAGGGACACCTTCCACTAGACCAGGTTGCTCAAACCCTCATCCAGCCTGGCCTTGAAGACGTCCAGGGATGGGGCATCCACAGCTTCTCTGGGCAACCTGTGCCAGTGCCTCACCGCCCTCTCTGTGAAGAACTTCTTCCTGAGCTTTTAAACAACATCCTCTGAGCTTTGTCTCATCCATTATCCAGGCACAGAGTGGACAAATAGCTCAGTCTCCACTGCCCTGCTCCTTTTCCAGGTAGGATAGCGTCCCCCTCCAGTAAACTGCCCTGTGGCTCCAGATGCCACACGCTGAGGTGACAGGTCACCCTGAAGTCAAACAGTACAGCCCTCTCCTCAGAGCTCCTCTGCAGCAACCACCGGGCTGTTCAGTACCAGAAAGGTGCAATTGTTACCTTTCAGCTGAGAGGCCACGCCACTCAGCGTCTGGATTCGGATTTCCCACATGCATGTGAGGAAAAATGGGTCCACGATGCTTCAGCCTCCGCATTGAGATGGACGGGGTGCATCTGGGGCCAGGCCAGTATGGCCCTCCGAGCACTGCCCGCGCGCTCAGCTGAGGCACGACCATCACCCCCGCAGCGCCCACGCTTGCACGAGTCAGGAGGGAGAACGCCCAGAAACCACCATCTCACCGAAGCCACCCGCTGCCACTCGCAAACGCTCGGCACGCACAGGCGGGGGCCAGCGGTTACGAGAGCCGTGCTCAGAAGCCTAGAGGAAGAGTGAGGTGATTTAAGGTTTCAAAGCACATGAAATTTAAACAGCTCCCCTTCGCTTTAGAACGACAATGCTGGCAAGGCCTCTGTGAGGTATTTTATGAATACCACTGAAGAGACTCTCTCGCTAATGCCTAGTAGATACAAATAAATTATTCATTCCCAGAACTCACATTTGGGTTTTATTATACTCCGTAAAATATACAGGAATCTTGAAGTACTGAAAGAGTGCAGGTAAATACAGTATTCAAGCATCACTATTTCTATGTACATGCTCATTAATTCTTCAAAAACCCCACAAAATTATCAAATAGATCAAAATATTGTCCCGTGTTTCCACACTATGTTCAGAAAACCAGCTGATAATTTACAATATCGTAAAGATTTCCAGTTTCACAATACAAAAAGGATAAAAAGGAAATGGGAATCAGTTTGGAGTAATTTATTTGTACTTTACCAGGACATGCAAGGACTCCTTGCATGTACATGAACAAATTAACTTGAAAAGTAACAGTTATAGTTAAAGCAGAGCCAAATAAAGTAAATATTCATCTTTAACAGACAAAACTTCAGCTTACTTATGTCAGTTTTGCATTCTTCAGGCAATTAAAAAAAAACCCCACAGTAGTCTGTTATAACTTAAAAAAATAATATTCGGGCAAGTGTGAACCACGTAACAGGGACCTGTTTCTGCTGTTTCGTTTCTAAATGGAGCACAACAAAGATACACAGCTCTTCCCACAGACCAGACACTGTACTTTTCTCCTCTAATAGGGCAATATATTTTTAAATTCACCTCCCCTCCTTGTAACTGCAGGATTAAAAAAAAAAAAAAAAAAAGTGATAGGGATCGACAATTTGAATCTTACATACAAATTTGTGATGTAAGGAAGTGGACAGATGATTGAAAAGAACTCTCAGTCACAACAGGGTTATCAAGACATTTCACTTTGATTTTTTATGCAGTTTCATAGTTTCCAAGTTACTCATGTATTTTTAAATTAAAAAAAAAAAAAACCTCAATCCAAAACCCAAAAGTTAAAAAATGTAAAACTGTGCAACAGTTACGGCTTCCCTCCCACATCTCCCACCCCGCCCCGTGTTTATTACACTGTACATTTTTCACCCTGACTTCACCTTGTTAGCTGGTTTAATTTTAGTATTATAAAAGTACGACCAGTTCATTTTCATTTCACCCAAAAGAAAACAAAACTTTAAAGTACATTTGCTTGCTTTCACGGTACATTTAATAGTGTCGGAAGGCTCTCAAATGACTTAAAAAAAAACAAACCCAAACAAACAAACAAACAAAGCCACCCAAACACATTTAAAACCAAATCTAAGCTTCTTTTCCAGAAGTAATTAAGGTTTGGTTGAAACAACTTCTCAAATAACCTCTTCCAGTTTTCACAAAAACGTATTTAATTTAAAAAAAAAAAAATCTTTAAGTTATTTGGTCCTTTGGCAATTTGCAGCACAAACAATGCCTACTGTACCAAACTCGTTTATTGCCTTCAAAATGGTTTTAGTTTTATTGATGGTATTGAAATCTGGCATCCTTCGCGTTGTACAATAGCGTTGCTCATTTACACCGAGTAGGGTGCCCAGTCTGCAGAAATTACTCCCGGCACCAGAAACAGAACGGTCGAATACAGTTAAATAAACAGTTTTGACATTCTTTTTTTTTTTTTTCCCCCGTGGATTCCAAGTACTTATTCAAGAATTTAAGCTGCTTCTGCAAAATACGCTCTTAAAAATCCTCCTAGAGTCTCACATTTCTTTTTCCTATATGCAGCCACAATAAAAAACATCTTCTGAAAGGTCTGTCCTCCTGTTGCATTCAAACACCCACAGCTTTTTTTCCCAGAGCACAAGTCTGACCTTCCAGCGTGAGGGTTCTCTTCAGACCTACAAAACGTGGCTCCTAATAGGTCTCTGAATCCGAGTCATTGAGCTCGTCGTCTTCTGCGTAGGGGTAGCCACCTTCCCTGCCAATGTTGTTGAAAGTACAGTAAGAGCTGTGGTCACTCCTCATGATGGGCAGGGAATCGAAGGTGACGGTCTTTGAGGCGTTGGTGTAATGATTAATGGCATTGAAGGTGAGGGAAGGTAACGTGCTGCTCGACGACACGGGCATCATCGTGGCCAGAATGAGAGCCAGGCAGTCAGCCACATCCTTATTGGGCGCGCAGGCCAGAGCTGGCGTGTAACCTGGAAAGTCAAGAAAAACCCAAACCTTCGTTTAACACAGAGTCAGCGTAGAAAATTCTCAAAGATCGTGCCATCCTGCAGCTGCAAAGGTATTTTATATTGCTTAGTTCTGCACTGATGGATAAAAGAACACGAAATTAAATGCATTCTCAAGTAGAATTTTTAGACTTCTGGTTACAAAACCAACCCGGAAGTCAGGGGGCTTTGGAACAGAGGTGTACTTGTTTTGTCAGGCAGGGTCAGACACTGTAGGCCAGCGAGCAGAGCCTGGATTTGAAAGTGGGGAGGATGTCACCTGGCTGAGGAATGGCAGCCAACAGCACTGGGTGAAGGCAGCCACTAGACAGCCACTGCGGCCCAACCTGTTACATATTCCTGCATCCAGAAGCTTCCTTACGGCTGTTCATCGCGCAGTTACTTTACTAGGGCTGTCCTGTGTCACCAACCAGCTGGCCACAGCACCGGGGCCAGGGAACTGAAAAGGCAGAGCATGCAGTGCCCATCAACCTAGACCTCGTTACAGCAGGCAGCAATGCAAAGCCAACGTCTGACTTCAGTGAGAGGGATGCCAATTAAGAAATCCACAGAAGTTTGAGGAGATGCCAGCCAGACTCGCAGAGAGAAACTACACCTCTTGGTCGCCCGACCGGTCAGCCAAAACCCTGCAAGGCCGCGCTGCTGTGACAACCCCCAAACGCAGGAGGTCTCGGGCCGTGGAGTGATCGGCAGTCAGGTCACGTAGCTGTGAAATCTCTTCTAACTGCAGCTCTACTGATCCTCCACCGTTTCTGCGGCTTCCTCTACTCATTAAATGTCACGAAAAACGCTTCAAGCTCCCCTCAGTGGGGGCCGTGCACTGCTCCCGTCTCGGGCTTTAGGTTTAACATTCAGCGTGGCACCCGTGGGGATGTTTGGCGCAGGTCTCGGGGCATTTCTGCAACGCCAAGGCGCTGCAACCGGTGGTGACAACAGCCGATTCTGCCGCCAAGACCAAAGTGAGTTCGTGCCCTCAGCCCAGCTCCGCACAGGAGCAGGCAGCCAGCTGGCCTCGGCGCGGCCTCGCTCGCCGCACGCCTGCAACGAGCTGCGTGGCAAGACCCGCGTTCAGGTGCATTCGGGAGCCTGAAGTCCTGCGCTACCCCGGGTCCGCAGCCTAAAGGTGTGCGGCAGCCAGGTCAAAAGCGCACGAGGGGTATCAAGTTACAGGTGGCTTTAAAGCACACCCCGGGACGGATTTCTGTCCAGACCTTAGAAAGGCATGGAAAACAAGGCAATGCCCGTTCTACCAGCAAGTGTTTCACCTACGGAATCATCTTTATTGTTGCAGCAGATCCAGGGCAAGTTTCAGGATAGAGCTCAGGAGTGGTTATTGTGCTGTACAACGGCACCCATGTTTTAAACGGGGTGCGCTGTGGAAATCGTAGCCCAACAACAGCGTGCAGGGGGCAGTCTTGCAGCTGAACTGTTACTTGCTCAGGGCAGACGTTGCGCTCGACGCTTGGAACAGGGCCAACAGGCCGTGCCCCGGGGAACATGCAGTCCCAGGAAACCCACAGGTAATCCAAGCACACAACGCCCCAGCTGACCACGCGACAGGGCCGTGCCGAAGCGTGGCGGATGTTTTCACGGCTAGCGAGGCATCACAGACTGCGACAGCTCAGAGTTAACAGCGGCCGTCTGCAGAAGAGATACGCTCTTGAGAGGATTCAGAAGCAAGGGCCAGAGCTTGCTACCCCCGGGTGATGACTGCGTTTCAGGCACGTAAAGCAGAACGGAAGGCTCAGCGCTGATAGGCAAATGCACACAGTTTGATATCTACAGTTGCTGGAGACCGCATGAGGTTCACATGACACACAAATTTATCCAAGCTGGCCAGACTGAACACCATTGCCTTCACTAACGTGATGTGGTGAAAGTCCAAAGATTCACAAGCTAACCTTTTAGTTCTTTTAATGTCTTCCTCTCCCCCTCCATCCTCCTTTTCTTAAAGGCTTCTTCTTGCTAGTGTCTTGAATACTCATGTTCCGCCCGGAACAGAGCATCCCAGTTCATCGTAAGAAAATTAAAGGCCAACACGCAGATTCAACAGACTGCTCGTTTCTGTTAGAAGTTCTCTATAGACAGTGTTTACACTGATGTTCCATTATAGGTCTTAAGCTCCTGGCTTTCTTAAGTAGGAATGAAATAGCACAGTCTGATTTTTGCCTTAGACACAGCAAGATGAAGTAACTGCACCATGACAGACCTACACCTGGGTCCTCCACCACGTTGTTTTTGTCTATATTAATCTAAGATTTAAGAACAAATGATGTTGTTATGTCCCTTAACTGCAAAGTGATCATTCATACGTCAGGGCAACAACAGGTATAAATACATTTTCTTTCAAGATGATGTTGGTAAATGTACTGACTCCCCTGAAATCCTCGCACTCGGCTCTCATAATGTTCCCCATAATCCGCACAAGCCTTCACACACCAACAGAAGTCACCGTCTTCCATTTATAGCTGGGGCCACAGAAGCAGCGCGAGGCCAAGGAGCTGCCTCACACCACAAACTGGAGCCTGCGTGGTGGACACTGACTTAGGGCCAGGGCTCACCCTGCCCAAACGTGGAGCGGCTCCCTCCCCCCGGTGCTCCAAAGTTTCCATGAAGGCGCCCCCAGGAACAGCAGAGGGTTATTAGTGTGGTCAGTGCAAAGACGGTTCTCAAGATAAACTGAATGAAGTCTTACACTTGGGAAAGGGAAGGAAGTCATCTGAGGAATGAATGAGCTTTTACAAGAAAAATTCCTTCCAGGAAACAGGAGATCTCCAACATAAAGTAGAACATGAGTAAAAGAAAGCGTGGAAAAGAACTAGACCAAAAAAATTGGGCTTTCTTTTACAAAAGCTTGGAAGGCCAATGATCCCTGTAACGGTACAGAAGAGAAGAGAAACCTCCGTGCTGTGTTAAGTCTCCGGAGTCAGAGAAAGCCACCCCTCACTGCTGCGTGCACATTAACACAACAACTTAAGGGCAGACCCTTCCCGGAAATTTAGCTAGCCTGGGAAGTTACACAGCGTGCAAACAAAACACAGCAAAACCTGGGGAGTTGGTGGGGTGACCAAAGATAAAATTTCACTTAGTGTCAAATCAAATAAAAAGCTAGTAGTTTCTTTTAAAACCGAGAAACTTGCATAAACAATGTAAAATTCAACAGAATTTTTGTAGATGCAGGTGACAGCAAAGTTTCACCACAGCAGGTGTGGACATATGGGAAAAAGAACTGAAATATTTGAGTGAGAATTGATGCAGAACTGAGAATGGACCCTCAGCATGACTACTTTTGGGAAGTATACCACACAGTTAATTTGCTCTTTCAGTTGCATTTCATCTTTTGAGAGGATTACCTTTTTTCCAAAGATGCTAGTTCTTAAAGATCTCAAGAAGTGACCTCACCACAATAAGAGACGCTCTGTAACAAAAGCAGTATGACTTCGAATCTACAGGTTTAAGTATCTTATAAATGAATTATAAATGGAAATGCAGAGAATCGGAGTGATGTTGGGTTTTTCAAAGCTCACAGTTTTCGATGGTTTCCGGTAGCCCAGATCCAGCAGCACAGGGCTAGTAAGCAGTTTTATACAGATACAAAGAGAGGCTGCTCGTAAGAAAGGTCAATGCAGCCTTTCTAGAAAGGGACAACCCCAGAGACAAAAAGGGGATCAGCACTCCACACCAGCTGAGGTTTTGCTGGTTACGTGTTCTGCGTTTCAAGACGCGCTTCCATGTAGAACACTAACGGAAACTTTACCTCCAATCTCATCAGAAGCCGGTTATCACGACTGCCAGCTTTTCCACTCAGTATAAAAGGTACACTATGGAAATCAAGAAAAATGTTGCCACAGGTTTAACGAGCCTGCTAACATACTAATCTTCCAGGAATCAAGAAAAAGATTAGCAACAGGTGTAATTGCTAAATCCCACTGAAATTTCCCTTGCTCTCTCACAACTCAAAGCATTCGTCACTTTGCACATACTGTACTTCAAGCTGGCACATTCATCCAAAAGAAGAATAATTCATTATGAATATTCTCAAGGCTGCGTGAGAATAAAGAGCTCAAGGCTGTTTATAAACAAAGCAAATGCTATTAGAAAGAAAAGTGAAGAACCACAGTGAGGACCCCACCTGGAGTGCTGTGTCCAGCTCTGGGGCCCCCAGCATGAGAAGGATATAGACTGGTTGGAGTCAGTACAGGGGAGGCCACGCAGATGCTCCGAGGGCTGGAGCACCTCTGCTATGGGGACAGGCTGAGAGAGTTGGGCTTGTTCAGCCTGGAGAAGAGAAGGCTCTGGGGAGACCTTATTGCACCTTCCAGTACCTGAAGGGGCTACAAGGAAGCTGGGGGGGGGACTTTTTACAAGCGCCTGTAGTGACAGGACAAGGGGCAATGGGTTTAAAGGGAAAGTGGGGAGGTTTAGATTGGGTATCAGGAAGAAGTTCTTCACAGAGAGGGTGGTGAGGCACTGGCACAGGTTGCCCAGAGAAGCTGTGGGTGCCCCATCCCTGGAAGGGTTCAAGGCCAGGCTGGATGAGGCTTGGAGCAACCTGGTCTAGTGGAAGGTGTCCCTGCCCATGGCAGGGGGGGTGGAACTAGATGGTCTTTAAGGTCCCTTCCAACCCAAAACAGTCTGTGATTCTATGACCTAGAATAGGCAGCTGTGCTGGTTTGGGCTGCACAGAGAGTTAATTTTTTCACAGTAACTAGTATGAGGTGATTTTTTGGATTAATTCAGAGTTACTTTAAAATATAAACAATTAGCAGAGTTTATAAGTTGTTTAACATGTTGCAGTTAGATCCCCAGGCTGCCAGAGAACTGTGACTTCTCCACAAGCAACCTTTTTTCTCTGTGACAGCAAAGATCCACCCTAAGAAGGGACGGGTTGGCTGCACATGAAAAGCCCACAAACATACAAACAACATCTCCAGTCAGCATACTGGTGATGAGAAACGAAGATCAAAAAGGCACGTTTCCCAGCCTTTTCATTTCAGAGAGTTTCATTTAGCAGTGACCCCTGTACCCTATTTCAGGAATGAGGTTTAAATCACCCATGTCACTTTAAGAGACACACAGAAAGCCAACAGTAAACATTAAGACAGGAAAAACTTTTCCAAACTGGAAATATAATTAGAACTGTTAATTAAGCACATCTGTTCTGAAAAAAAAATCCAAACCAACCAGCCAAACAAAAAACCCAACCAACAACACAAAAACAAACCACCACACCAACATCACCACCAAAACCAGTGCAAAACCCCACAGCAACCCTCCCCCCGGAGTCCAGGTACTGGTTACGTTAGAAGACATCCTGTGGTATGGCATAAGAGCAGGAGCTCTTCAGCTCCTAAAAGCACAGCTCTGGAGGAGCACAGAATTCTTACATGAAAACATGCAAATAAGAAGTCAGTAGGTCTAATTTTTGTTTGTTTTTAAAAGGTATTTAGTCTGTGTGACAAAGCAGCTACTTTTCCTTACTTCCACGTGCCAAAAACCTCTCAAGAGCCAGAAGCTTGAGAGCAGTAACCAAGATCTGCGACTCATCCCTGCTTTTAAGACCCAACACCAATATACCTACTGTGACAAAACGGATGGCAATTTGATCCAGCTTCTTAACAGCAGAAAGTTATTTGTGCATTCCACTCTGTGTGCCGGAGCTCGTGTATTTATAGTGCACACACCACAGAGCTACAAATGCGACCCCAACGTTTCCGTGCGGAAGAACCTCCACGGTTCTGAAAGTTTCCACCCCCTCCCACTTCTGCGGCTGCGATGACCCCTCACCAACGTGGTACCTCGTCTTCTCTGGGGGCACCTACTGCCCGCTCTCACTAAATTCCCACAGGGTGACTGCCTGTCAGTGAGCGCAGCTGAAAACCACAGCTCCTTACAGGGAAACACCGTTAAAGTTGTGCTTACCATTTTCATCTACGGCAAGTACACTTGCTCCCTTCCCTAAAAGCTCTTGAACCACAACCGTTAGTCCATTCCGAGCAGCAACATGCAGAGGTCTGTGAAGACAAGCAGACCGGTACATAAACCTTAGAACAAGGTACTACATGAGAGAGGTAGCTTGCATCTAGTTACATAATTGTTGAGGTATTTATACTGGTGTGTTACTTACACATTATATAAATTAACATTGTAGACATAATAATAAGATGGAAAAACCCCAGCAAATCCCTTTTCTTACTGCAAAGAAACTGTACAGTTGCAAGAGTGCACTGCCTTTTTCTTCCAATGGCACCACACAGGGAGGAAGTAGCTGCTAGAAGAGATCTGCCTGCTCGTGAACTCTTATCATGTTAACAACACAGAAACCTCTGGTGCCTTATGGGGGATAAACCCTTCACTGAACTGTGGTAATGGGTATCATGAGATCTGTCCCTGCCAACAATCATCAGAATAGCAACAGCAGAATGGAAGCAGGAAAACCAGATTACTTTTCAAAACCTCACACTTTGTGGGTGACATGATCGATCAAGGAAAGTGTACCTTTACCTCAAATACTCTAATTAGATCTTTTTCAAATGCAACAGTTGGTTGCAAATGGCTTAAATAAAACCCTATTGCCATTCAGCAGGAAACAGAATAACCAGCTTACTTCCCTTCTGATTTCTACTGCTCTTCATTCAAGACTCATAAAATTGTTTGAATTATCTGAGAACTATATTTTGATTTGGAAACAAGTGCCTTAAATTGGAGACCAGAAATGCAAAAGATGCAATTAGGAGCAGCTCTATCTAAGGTGCTTATATTAAAGTATTAAAATGCAAGAACTACTGCACACCACAGATATGCTGAAAAATGTACCGTAATTAAAACAGAGGCCAACAATTGTAATGCTTATCGTGGCACAAAGTAGGACACTGCTCATGATGAAAGCTGTTCAGAAAGTCAGTTTAGTTATTAAAAAACCCATTTTCTAAAACAGTAATATTTTAAAACAACTGTTAAGATGCTGGGGTTTCTATAAACATTTCATGGAGGTGTGAATATGCCCCTATTTTTCCCTTTGACATCTCCTGATCAGACTATGTGAGCCAAGGCACGTGGGTGCAACTAGATGAGCCCGTGGTAGCAGACTTGCCCACTTCTGCTCCCAGCTCATTTCTGCTTTTCCTCCTGCCAAGATATGCCCCCCAGCCCAAGTCAGAAATGGGGCGATTAATCCTCTCCTGATTTCTGCGTATTTCCTGCTGCCTAAGCAAGAGCAGAGGAAGAAGTTTTACCACTTCAACCCCTTAGTTCAAGCAGATCTCCTAAGAATAGTTGGAAGAACTGTAGGAGTTTGAATGCGACAGATTCCAGAGGGGACGTAAGGCCAGAGAAATATGCAAGTTGCTTACAAGTTCCAGTGGGTTTTGGGGTTTTATTCCTAAATGGTCTGTGACAGTGTTATTCAAGCAGTCTAACAATTCATGTGCGTAACTCGGCTACCTTATCGGGTGTCAAATACTGCCTATAACACAAATACACTCTTTAAAGGGAAAAAAAAAAAAGCAGAAGAGCCATTTTAACAGCCCATCCTGAAATATATTCCTCCATGAGACATACCGCTACCTCTCTAAGTTTTTCTTATGGCTGGGCTAGCAAAACAGGCTTAATTCTACTTGAGAGAAGATCTTCCGGAAGCATTAAGAATACTGCATTCACCATAATATTAACAGAAAGTAGTCTTTCACTGTAGTAGCAATAGGTGTCTTTTCCTAACAGACAGCATGCTAGAGAATAAAAACATACATCAGCTAGGGTTTTTTTATTAGCTAAGCTTTGAAGAGCAAGTCTTCGTTTGCCTGCAATGAGTGGTTAACTGAAGTGAATTCTAATTGAAAAATTAAATAAACCAGAAAAATACGGGTTACAGGTAACCTCAGCTGATCGCAGTAACTGCACACAGGACTCCCTGAATCACAGCACTGAGACTGATTCACCAACCCCTTTTGCTCAGCTAAAACTAGAACTTCAAGAATGAACAAAACACCATTTCCCTTCAGGTCAGTTAAACTCTTGGTACCTGTTAAGCAATTCAATCAAAACTCAACCAATTTGGAAAACAATTCTGAAAAACACTCCTCTTCATGAGCAAGACACTGGTTTTAGCAGATACACCCAAAAACTCATCCGTAAAACACGCTCGCTGCCGATACGTACGTTTGCAAGGCTGCATTGGTGGCATTGATGAGGTTTCTATCCGTAATCTTCTCCAGTATTAACAAGGCACTAGTTTCATGGCCCTTGATACAGAACAAACATCTGTCATACAACAAATACTCTTCACAAATGGCTTTGAATGCCTTTCCAAAGGAAGGAGTTAACATTTAGGAACAGTGCGTGACAACACAAAGCTCAGCACCACCAAGTCAGACGACGCACCCACCTTGCTGCAAGCCAAGTGGAGTGCTGTGTTCTTAGAACTGTCTTGCAAAGTCAGATCAGCCTTAGCACTGCTGACCAGCACCTCTGGGGAAATAAAGGTCTGTATTAACCACAGGGATATGCCCGGAAGTCTTTTAATGGCTCACGTGTGTGCGAAATGAAAGCACCACTCTGACACAATACATCCGCGAGGACGTTAACGGTAGGGCAACTCGACCCGCAGTACGGTTGACAAACGACAGCAGAAATGTACAAAGCTTCCTCTTTACCGACTGTGTTTGTCTGTCCATTTTCTGCAGCCATCATTAAAGGTGTTTTCCCAGAAGAATCTACAGCATTGACTTGAGCGTTATGACTGAGCAGAAGCTGTAGACACTCAACGTGATCCGTAAAAGCTGCTGCATGAAGAGGAGTTCTACAACAGACCAAAAGACAACACAGCCACGTTCAGCCACGCTTTCCACTGTACTCAACGGGGCATGCTGACCATGACCCTGCACAACACCGGAGGCTGGGCAGTCCCTCTCACTAATCCTCTGAAATGAGTATTGCTGGAGTTGTGACTGCGGTCTTTAGAAAGCAACCTTCAAGTTTCAAACAATTCCCTCTCTGTCGTTTGTAACAGAGACACAACTTGATTCGGAAGAAATGAAATAGGCTCAGAATACCACCCACAGCGTGACACAACTTCAAACATGCTCAAACCTGTCTATACAATAAAAAAGCCAATTCAAGTTTATTCACTCAGGATTTTTAAAGAAATCTAAGATTTATTTCTAGCACAGAATAATAATAAAAAAATTCTTCAAAGAATAAAAACAGGGGGAAGGGGGAATTAATATAAGTAGCAAATACAGACCCCCCAGAATCATTACAGAACGCGGCAGAAGCCCCTCTCTGACATCACAAACATTCTTCCACCGTGCCGTTACCCCCTTACCTTCCTTTTGAATCTGTTGAATTTACAATACCAGCACCTAGCGTATCAATTAACATTTCTGCAGCGCCTTCATTGTCATTTATCCTACAAGGAATTAAACAGGCTGTTATTTACAGAATGATAAATCTTTTGTTAAAAACAGCAATGAAATCCGTGAAGAAGAATTTTGCACTTCCTTACACAGCACAATGCAACGGACTGAAAGAGTTTCCTTCCATTTTCTGGAAAACTTCCTGTTCCAGGAGGAGTTCTACACAACTGTCATGACCTAAAGCAAATGTAAAAATTGGGTATTAAGAAAAAGGTCTATTTATGGGTTACAGCAAAAACTACCAAATTAGATTAAGCAATTTCTCACTTGAAAGTTTCAATGACATCCTGGTTATGCTTGATATACCTTTAGGAACTAAGACATTTTTAGAATCCTGAAAATCAAGCCAACATTTAACACTGTAAATGTTGTGAAATTCAGAATCTCATGCTGCCTGAAAAACACCCAGAACACTGAATTTAGTTCTTTACACCTCCACATTTTAAACTTTTCTGTACATTCACCACTTAGTCTACATGAAAACATCTCCACCACTTGAGGGTTATTTTCGTTCCACTGTATTGCCAAACCCAAAGGAAAACCAAGTTGACAGTCATAACAAAAGCTGAAGAACACCACCTTCAACCAATCATACTGTTATTTTCAAAACTCTATAGCCCGCTGCTGTGCAGGTAGCTAACAATGGTAATTATCCGTTTGCTCTGCCTTGCGTTGATGCAGAAAGCCTCAGGTCAACAGTCACTGTTGTCCCAAGATTTGTATTTTCACAAATTCTGTCAAATTTTCATTCTAGAAATCGAGCACATTTCAGTTCTGTTTCACTCAGACACTGTGGTCACTCTCAAAATGGGCCAAGCTGTAAGAGTTTGATTTTATGAATGTGAGAAAGAGATGTTACGCTGGTTCTTCAGCTGTGAAGACAGTCTGGTTCGGTATTCACTTTAAAATAACTGGTGAAGTGAGGCTCTAAACCCTTACTTCCTCATCCTTCTCTATCATGCGATGTCAGAAAGGAACACAGGAAACGAAATCTTTAGTGAAGGAGCTGAATGAGCGTCCTACCTTTTAAGGCCAGATCCAAGAATGAGTGAAGTCAAGGATCCGCGAAGAAAGAAAAAGCCCTTATTGAATCGATTTTATACACTCTGGCTTATTCTGCCTTACAAGATCAATTTGACGTGAGTTTTAAAAAGGATTTAAGCTGAAACCATTCCTCCCAAGACGCCCTGTGAAGGTTATTTTTTGGGGATGTGTGGGGCATTTCTCTTCACAGGTACTATGCTGAACTTCTTGAAAGACTCCTTGAGGCATAAAACTAAGAAGGCAGTTGATAACAAAACTGCAGCCCAAATGAAACACCTCATACTATGTGTTAGATGTTAATGCGTTCCACCTGAAGATACGACGTCTGCCGTGCTGCCACGCTGACGAATACAACTGAAAGGCCCTTTTTACAAGGGCCTGAGTAACAGGACAAGGGGTAACGGGTTTAAATTGAAAGTGGGGAGGTTTAGATTAGATATCAGGAAGAAATTCTTCCCAGAGAGGGTGGTGAGGCACTGGCACAGGTTGCCCAGAGAAGCTGTGGATGCCCCAACCCTGGCTGTCTTCAAGGCCAGGCTGGATGAGGCTTTGAGCAACCTGGTCTAGTGCAAGGTGTCCCTGCCCAAGGCAGGGGGGTTGGAACTAGGTGGTCTTTAAGGTCCCTGCCCACCCAAACCATTCTGTGATTCTATGAAAGAAAACAGGCTTTACATGCTGCTTTTAAAGTAGTAACAACTTCTATCTCAGTGTCACCAAATGCGTTTAGACCTCTGTTTGAAGTCTGATGTGTTTTACCATTATAGCAGGCCCAGTGCAGTGATGTGTAGCCATGATTGTCCGCTAGTGCAGGTACAGCATCCACGGATGTAGCTGACTGCAGGAGAGCTCCCAGAACACCTATATGTCCGCATGCAGCTGACAAGTGTATCGGGGTTCTCCCCCTACAGTCTCGCAGTAAGGACTTAGCACCATGTTGAAGCAACGCTTCGACACATTCCTCATGCCCAGTAACTGCCTGGAGAGAGACAAGAAATGGCAAGTCTGCAAATATTCATGTATTTAAGCCACAGTGTGTAACTAAAGCAAGCAAACTTCAGGCCATTTCTGACATTTTTCCAGGAATAACGAAATAAGCACAGTTGTTATTTTTATTCCTGAAAACAGCCATTCTGTGGGAAAACTAGCAATGTATTATCACATTGATGACAGAATAATTTCTTGGAATAACACTGAATGAACTGCTAATCTCTAGGGCTCATTCAAATATCTTATCTGGCAGAGACTATAAAAAATCATTGGCATATGGCATGCATCCCGCTTTTCTTCCTCCCATTAACACCACCCCCACCCCATAACAAAAAGCTGTACTCTGCGACCTCTCCAGTCAACACTCTGGAGCAAGATGAAGAGACTCTAGAATTCAAAAAAAATTCTAGGGTATGGAGCAAACAGGCAAAAGCTTGTCTTTTGAGAGCAACTAAAAAGACAATTAAAAACTAACAACAGCAAGATGAGAACAGTGAGAAATTTATTAACGCTACCTATTAAGTCTGTATTTGAAATTAATATGCATAAAATTGGAAAGGACGGTTATATTCTCTTACCCCTCTATGCAATGCTGTTCTTCCCCACTTATCTTTGGCATCTACATTTGCCCCTTTGTTAAGGAGTGAATACACGCAGTCCGTGTGCCCGTTGAGAACTGACAACATCAGAGGGGTCCTGAGCAGAGAGTGAAGTAAAGTGTCATCTACATGGACATTTAACAGCTGGACTGTAACAACTACCGTCACCCTGAGAAGGCCACTCACATTTACTGTTTAGATACAAGAAAATAAGTAAGCGTCCTCTCATTCAGAAATTGTGGTTAAGTCACTAGAATCCATTTTCTCAGCACCTGGGCAGTAGGACACATTTTAGTTTCCTCCCAGCCGAACATTTTTCACCACTAACATTATGTTTAATGCAAAATGCAGAGTCTCGGGTCCTAATTGAAATACCACCTCCCTTTAAAATAACAAATAAAAAATCACCAAAGTAGTTGGTTTTTCCTGTTATAAAATGCAGTAACTTGTGAAGAACAGAATGTGTATCGTTTAAACTCACTGTCCATTTCCATCTTGAATGTCCACCGCATTCTGTGGTTCCGCATTTCCTATCAATAGCCGCAAACATTCCGAGTGACCGTTTGTAGCTGTAAAACATCATAAAAATACAACACCTATGTTAATTGCCTTCGAGTACACACCTCAAACAGAACGGTAACCTGCTCAGACTAAAGCCCGTTACCTTGAGAACCCACTGTACAGCTTGACCATTGTTATAACTAAAATTTAAACCAAAAAATTTGAATGCTAGAGAATTATTTCAGAAATCAGGTACTCTCAACTGTATAGCATTAAAAGGAATTGATTCCAGCTGTCAGTGCCAACAGGTATTTGGTTTTTGCATCTAAATGAGGTTGCACACGTTAATCATGATTAGAATATAGGCTTATACAACATCCAGAAGAAGGAATAATTAAATATAGTGATCAGCATGACTTCTGCTTGGTTTAAGGCCCAGGTAAACACATACCTAGCCAATCATGCAGAGTCAGTCAGCAAGTGCAGCACACGCGCAGTTATGAAACGATAATTGAAATCACATTAGGAAGAGGAGAAGGAAACGTAACTCACAGAAGTAATTAACCAAGCAATTAAAAAAAGAAACAAAAAATTGAGAAATTACATTTAAATGCAACTCACGACAGACAAACGATTGCTTGTTAGAGGGGAAATCAATTCTGCCGTGCAGCTGCTGCATGCAGCCCACGTAAGAACAGTGGCAGTTCATGCTTCTCCAGCGGACAGAAATGCTCACACAGGTTAGGAGAAGCTCAGTCAAGTAGATGACTACAGCTTGTGCTCATGGACAACAAACTGGGTGGTTAGAAGGGTGACGTTGTACACATGATACTATTTTTACTGCAACATTTCTACAACACCGTAACTATTAATGCCAATTTAAATAAGCCTATTTTCAAAGAAAGGGAAAAAATACGAATATAGGATGAGTGCTAGACTTTGAGCAGGGTAGGTTTGTACAGGTTTTCTAGTAAAGGCAGCGAGAAAATATCGCAAAGGATTGCTGTTATTTTACAAACACTCAGAAGTAATTTAAATCCTTGGGAAAAACCCAAAGTATAACTTTCACGTCTCTTCTCCAACTGACAAAATTCTCCAAGACTCCAGTCAATTTTAGAAGTATGTTACTGCCAAGACGGGCAACGCAATTCACATATCTAAACGTGGCCCTGCGGTCTGGGCTGTGCGGAGGGCGAGGAGAGGAACACGGCACTGACACCTGGCAGCGCGGCTAGCCTAGCTAGCCGAATGGACAAGGACAATCTCCTCTGGACAGCACGTGGAACAGCACGCCTCAAGCCAACATGAGTTAGTGGGTTAATACTGGCTTCTACCCACAACTGCTTTGTTACACCTTTCTCAGCACAGCATGTACCTTAAAAGTCATCGCCTACTGCTAAACACCATTCATGACAGAAACTTCTAAACACGAAGATGATCCACTTCAAAATCCCAAACCTTCGAGGTCAGCAGTTAGCACATACCTGCAGCATGTATCGGGGTCCTCTTTACAACATAATCTTTCACCAGGATTGACGCTCCCTGATTAATGAGCACATCTACACATTCCACGTGTCCCTTGAAGGCAGCAAGATCCAGTGGTGTCCTTCCATTATTATTCCTCACATCAAGGTCCAGCAGCGACTGCACCAGCACTTCCAGAGCCTGGTGGTGGCCATGATAGGCCTGCAGGAATAAGAAAATTCTTCAGGTTTCCTGGCCGTCACATTTTTCCCTTTCTTGCCAGGATTACGTAAGTGAAACTGCTAAGATACTATCTTTGTTTCAACACGTGGAAGAGCTACTGATGCAGCCTGTAAGTAGTTACAATAGTTTTGGCTAGTTAAAAAAACCAACCCAAACCACAGAACTTCAAGCAAGTTACATCACCCTCAGATTATTTCAAGCGAGGAACATATGTAAACCTCACTAATCCCTATTATATTTTTTTCATTAAATATTTAAAAAAAGAAAAAATAGTAAAATTTGGAAGTGGAAAGAATACAGTTCAAATAGCTACAGTTAACATAACTGGTAAACCAGAAGGGACTTAAGGGATGAAACCGTTAAAAGATCAGAATGGATATGCAAGGATAAAAAACCAGTATAGAGAATACTCTATAGGTGCGTGTCCAGACAAAGTGTCAAAGTTGGTAATGAAAACAAAATACCTACAACCATGGTTTTATAATTTCCATCATAATTTTAAATCTATAACTCATGGATACATGACTTCCGCCCCAGACAAAACTCACTTCCAGGAAAAATCTCTTCTAACTGCTTTCCTTTACCAGTATTAAAGACTGCTTTTTACTAGGGCCATACATGCACGTACTGCATGAGACAGGCTATTTCCAGAAAGGAAACTGTGGTTTTCCAATTGCTCCAAGTCCAGTGAAAAGTCAAAAGCTACATATTCAGCTGGTTCCTCTGTATTTTGATTATATTTATACCGACTGTTTCATCAGGTCCTCTCCTACACTACTCTCTGTGCAAATCTTTCTTAAAAGTATGAAGGACAAACATTTCTCATGTTCTACCCTCAACAACAATGAGGGTAAAACAACAATGATGATTAAAAAAGTCATCATTACCTATATGATAAATCTTAATTAGAAGATTCCAAATGAATGCTGTTCCATGAAGCAAGTTTCAGGTGAAATGCAAAAATCATCCTGTATAGCTCATTCAGGAATATTAAGTACATTTTTTGCTGAATAAACCTAGGACAACAACTGTTTGTGATCAGATGAGCCATCATCCCTACAGAACGAAATACTTACAGCTAAATGCAGTGGACTTATAGGTGCTCTGTTGTCTGAATCATTCAGCATGTCAGTACCTGATGTTTCCATTAGCTTAGCAGAGAGAGAAAGAGTGAGTGCAAAACCCCTTCACCTTTAAAAACATTCAGCAATAATTGCTAGTTTCAATATACAGATTGAAAACAAAAAAAAAAAAGGGAAGATGAATACAGGATTACCCTTTCCTTAGGAATTTCTAGATCTCCTTCAACCCTTTAAAGAGTGTGAATTGCAATGACTGCAACCCCTCCCCCATATTCATCACCCAAACAGTTGTTGAATTTTGCATAACAACGCAACAATGAAATCAGAAACTAAACTAAAATTATTATTCTTTTCCCTGACTCAGCCACATGAAATAATACAGATGAAATGCAAACATAGGGAAAATAGGGACAGGGGAGAACAGCTGTAGTAGGAAAAAAAA